AAAGGCTTTCCGGGGAGCCCTGTCAAGGTCATCAGCTTGGAAAATGCTGGGGGAAAAAGAGATGGCACCAGGGCCCTGTTTCTCTTCACTCAGAGCAGCCCCACTTGTATCTGTTTTCTACACTGAGCATCTATGTCAGATGCTGTCTCAGCCCACGATCCCTAAGAAGCAGAGTTTGAGGCAGAAGCATACGCGCTAACATTTTATGAGGGAGCGCAGTGCCAGGGGAGCTGAAGCGAGGAAAAGGGGGTGAGGCAGAGAAGGGGAGAAAGCACAGGAGTGCAGTGCTGAGCTGGCCAAGAGCATTAGCTGCTGCAAGATCTTGTGGAAACTTCTTTAAAGAGGCTGTGTGAAGCTTTGGGCAGTTCCTCCAGGAGGAAGAGAAAAGAATGTATCTGCCAACCCCTGTCTCTTGTTGGTCAAAGGTTCACCCCATGGAGTGTCCAACACTTCTGTGGCCAGAATTTCAGAGGGAGGGGGTGGTACAGTTGGCTTGTGCTGGAATGAGACAAGGGGCAAGGGCCTGGAAGACAGGTGTGGCTGAGAGGAGCTAAGTTGGTGCATTAAAACGTATCTGATACAGCTATAATTGAAAAAGAGTGAGAACATCTGCTAAAATAAAAGTTGAAACCACTGAGCTGGATCATCCTAAAGAACCCTCCAGCTAAAAAGTTCCTCTATGCTGTTTACTGAAATGGCAGCTCAGAGAGCTGAGATCATTTGCCCTTCTGGTGTGCAGGGACCATGTCCCCAGAGTGTTACAAGCAATATCCCTGCAAGTGTGCCCCTAAGTGCCCAAGAGTTGGTGCCAACTTTACTCTATCCACCCTCCCGAATTTCTGCGCAATTTGAGAGCTAATGCAGGTGGTGTTTTAAAGACTTCTGATGGGATGGGAAAGAAAGGGACTCATATCCCACCAGGCTGGGGGTAGTTTTTATTTTGTTCTTTCAGGAAGGCCTGGCCCCCCTGCCAGCCTGGACTCCCCTCTACTCAAGCGCCAGCTGCAGGCTCCAGACAGGACACAGATTTGTTGGTGTTTAAGGGATTAGAAGAGTAAATGGGCCAGAGAGGCCCCTCCACACAGCCTCATCCTCTAATGGCTGGAAGCCCACCCCTGGGTGTTCTTAAATCTGTGGTTACATCACAGGCACCTCATGTCCCTTCCTTTGGAGCCCAGCAGGCTTTCAAAGCCAACAGAAAATGAGGAGATTGGGGTCAGCGCGGGAAGCCGCAATCCTTCTTCTCTGGTGTATACATAGATCAATCTGCAGATGGAAGGTCAGATTCACCAAAATTAAACCTGGGATCCAGTCTGAGCATTGTCATTGACTGACCTTGGGCACACGACTTCAGCTCAGGACACTGATTTTCTCTGCTTCAAAATAGGGGCATCACCAGCTCTGTTTATGACTGGCGAAAAGCAAATGAGAGGAAAAAAGGCTATAAAGCAAACACACCCTTCAGTGGAGCAGGAGAGGCCTGCACTGCTAACTGGGAACCGGGGTGCGGCCTGTAGGCTGCTAGAGCCCAGGATGCGGCCAATGGACAATGACTGGATACAGGCACCTTCCACAGCTGAGATAGGAGATTTGGGTTCTGATCACAAAGATAAGGAAAAAAATCCAATGCAAGTATCCTAAGAGAAAAGACAGGGAAGAAAATAGAATGGAAATAGGCAAAGCTCAATACCCTCACATCACGGAGGAACATCAGGTCTGGAAGACTGTTGTAAATAATAAATTCTCCCTGGCCGGTGTGGCTCAGTTGGTTGGGCATCCTCCCGTGCATGGAGAGTCACCAGTTTGATTCCCTGTTAGGGTACATGCCCAGGTTTCAGGCTTGATCCCCAGTATGAGGTATGCAAGAAGCAGCCAATCTCATCCATATTTCTTTCTCTCACCCTCTGCCTTCCTCTCTCTAAAAACAAAAACAAAAAAACACACCACCATAAAAACATAGTTTTAAAAAATAAACAACAAATCCACCAGGGCCAGGCTCTGTGCTAAGGGCCTCAAGTGTATTACTTCATTTAATCATCACAACCCTACTGCAGTAGATGCCACAGGCTTCTCCTTGTTACAGATGAGTAAACTGAGGCTGGGCAGGGTTGAATAATTTGCCTAAGTGTCACAGCTAGTTAGGAATAGTCCCAGAACTGAAGCCCAGGCAATCTGCCTAGGAGTGTTGTCAGGCTCTGCCATTTGTCTCTCTTCTCACAGGGATGCTCTCTCCCCAGGCAGCCTCTTAGCTTCTGGTTGTCATCTATATTCCTCGACACATAAGTCCGCCCAGCTCCAGGTCTGGCCCAAGCTTCAGATTCACAGGTACAACAGCCTTCCTGGATCACCTCAAGATTAACATGGCCAAGAATGAATTCTCATTTACCCCACACCTGCTTTCTGCTTTCCCACCCCTGACGTTCCAGTCACAGCCAGGGTACTTCCCACACCACTCCATGTCATCAGCTCTCTCCTTCACTGGCAGCAGTCCAGGCCCCTCACTAGAACGACTGTGCGCCTCATGCTGCGCCTCCCAGTCTCCAGTCCTGCCTCCTCCCATCCATCCTCGCGCTGTGGCCTGAAGGGCCTAAAATGCAGTATGATTGTGCTAGCCCCTGCCCTTGAACTGCTTCCGATTATTCTCAGAATAAAGGCAGGGTTCATCCTGCTTCCACCCAGCCCTCTGCCGCTCTCACTGAACTTGTTTCTGTTCCTCCAAATACCAGCATCTCTCTGGACGCCCGGCCGCCTGCCTGGCTGTTCCCGCTGCCTGGAACACTCTTCCCCACCCCCTGTGTGTCCCGTTGACTCCTGCTCAGAACTTCACTGTCAGCTCATAAACCCAGAGTCACAGCTGGGACCTCCGTCCTCCAGAAGCCCATCTGACTCCGCCCGAACAAAATTCAGTTCACACCACTTACCAATCTCCTCCCCCACCCGCTCCCAAACGCTGCTGGGGTGGGGCTTAGCCGCTCCGCCTGCAGATGCGCCGCTCACAGCGAGGAGTTAGTGCAAGTTCAAACGGGAGGAAGGGGAAGTGACTCTTCCAAACCCACAACGTCCAAGAGAGTGACAAAGCCAGAAATGTATAATGTGCATCCCCCCACCACAGCTTGGAAAGAATTCTCGGCTCCCCTGCGTGCTACCCTCCTATGCCACGGATTACTCAGCTCCTGGCGTCGAGGCCACGGAGCTGACACCATAAAACTCGACTTCTTCCATCTGAGGAAGGAAGGAAGAGCCCCCATGCCTTCCAGGCCCCAAGAACAAGGGAAACCCGCCACGCCTTCTCCCCTGGCGAGCATTTGGGTGGAGTTAGTCTTTGCGCAGGTCCCTACCCAACTCTAGGCCAATATCCGGGCCTCCCCCAGCCTAGGCAAAGCCTCCCGCCGCCGCAGCGCGGGCGACCCCAGCAAACCCCCGCGGCGACCCGGCCACACGCGTC